CTGTACTTTTGCATTTTCAGTGTTCTGCGAACACTTGAATTATTATTTAAAAACAAATTAGCACTTTCAATTAAAAGCATTTTCCAATTTTGTGCATTCTGCAATGGAAGATGTTGTTTTGACTTTGAAAACATATTTACTGATGTAAAATAATGCACGAGTAGAATGTTCTTCAAAATGTCTTGCAAGGAAAGAAAACCTTTAAGAGGCGACATCCATATCAGTGGCTTGATACAATTACGGAAGCTTGCAGTTTCCTAAATTTAAAACAAAAGAAAGCAATATGGGAGAAAAGATGAACTTATGGCTTTGCAACCAGAGATCTTCTCTATCTGCCAACCAGAAGTGGCATTGGGAACAGATTGGGAACATGCATCTGCAGCGGATAAAAGGAATCCTATAACACACTTAAACAGACATCACTGGTCTCAAAGTCACTACAGAAGCAACTTCAGATTACCGAGTGTCAGAAAAGACTTGTGAAGACTACTGGAATGCACATTTAGCAGTCCTAAAATTGATTTTCCTCGTTTTGAAAAACAACTGTTTCAACACAAGCTGCAGATTAGTTTGCAAAGAATTTATGACAGTGTTATTCAATTGTAAGTTTTTTCATTTATGGCTAGGAAGCCTCCAACATGGTAATAAGCCTTGTGAGATAACAGCCTCAGAACAACAAACTCGAAATCCAGGAAAAGAGATTCCACCTGAATGTTAGGGAAAAAACCTTCTGAGGGTGGGAGGTGTTCCATAGTGGAATATGCTGCCTTGGAGCAAAGCAAAGTCTCCTTCTCTGGAGGTTTTAAAACCAAGGCTGAATGGTCATCTGTCAGTATTGTGCCTTCTGCATGGCAGAATAGGGTTGGGCTGAATAACCTTTGTGGTCTCTTCCAACTCTATACTTATATAATATTAAGACATTCATGATGTTAACGTCTTGCTTGGCTAACAGGTGTTGCCATGGCCCCCACAAGCTGGGGCTGTGGATTAACCAACTCCCATTGGGCTACCAGGGTCTGTTGCCCAAACCTGAAAGCAAACGGAGCAGGTGCTTCTCTTGTCAATCTGGCCAGGAGCCTGGTTGAATTACACCGGGAAAGAATAGCTTTGCCTCTTTCATGAAATTCAATTACAGCAAAAGAGAGGTGGCACCTTCTGTGATGCGAAAGGACAATCTGCTCTTCTCGGAGCCCCCTTCTGTTGGCTACTTTGATCTGAGCTTTATTGTCTGAGTTTAACACCTTCACCTTTAATTCCAAACAGAGGAGGTCTATATAGAGTCCTATTTCTATAGCCAGGATTGTTCCAGTCTTTTTAATAGGAACCCTCAATTATCCAGGAAGCCAGAAACTAAATACACATAGTTTTGGTGAAATATAAGATTATTCTCACCAGTATTAAAACAGGTAGGAGAGGCCACATTAAAGACTCAGGTTTTACTTTCTAAGACCATTGCTTAATAAAAAGCGCACTGGCAACAGCTCAGCAGCACATTAGGGCTGGAAGCAGTTCAACCCAAAATGCAGAAAGGAGATGTAACTGAGTAAAATAATACAGGTTAGACTGGCTCTCCCGCTCTCCTCAATAAGATCTTTATTGTCAAGAGCTACCGCCATACTGACATGACCCAAAGCCATGGCAGTTCAACACTATCATCTTACAGATTTGCATCACAATTCTTCTCTGGAACAAAATCACACTTCTCTGCTGGATGGAAATGCTAGGCAAAGCTGCCAGAACCCAATCCTGCACTCTCATCCTCAGTTCTCATGTAGGTTTTAGGATCAGAATAGAGCTTCCAATACTTTCACACATTTGCTATTAGGATATAGGGATTAGGCTCTCAATATTCCTAGTGGGCTTCTTTACTGTGGTGACTTTGTATCACCTTTCTAGATAATCTATGTTTTGGCTGCACAGAAAATATTTCCTGGACCCCATTGTTTGGCCCTACTTGCTGCATCATCATCCATTGTATTTTCTATCTGCCTCTCCCCAAGATTTGAGGCAGGATACAACTTAGAATTAAAATACAAAATATAACTAAAAACACATCAAACAATTTACCTATAAAAATGTCAACTTATAGTCAACTTATTTCTTTTTAAAAAGCAAAGTACAATCAAGTAATCAATTCTTCTCTATCTTCAGTTTGGATTGCTACAAAATAAAACAGCTTGTATAACTGATTGCGCATCAAGTATTAAGTACAATCTCAGCTATTTTTTTTCATAATGCTCTGATAGTCCTACTGGAAGATATAGGACTTTAACATTTTTTAGAATTTAGACAGCATATTTATCTGTTAAATCTCTTATGGCAGGTTATTCCATAGTCTAGGGCAGTGCTTTGCAACCTGTGGTCCATGGACCACCGGTGGTCCATTAGGAACAAAAATATGGTCCACGGCCTCACAATTACTACACCGTTGCCTCAAAACCACGCAGCAACGAGAGCAACCGGTCTCATGAAACCCTCCTATAGTGATGAGGCAATGGGGATATTTCTTTATTTATAGTATTTATATTCCACCCTTCTCACCCCGAAGGGGACTCAGGGTAGTTCACAATAAACACATACACGGCAAACATTCAATGCCGTTTTTGACATACAAGGCATACAGACAGAGGCCAGTCAGCAGTTCTTCCACTTTGGATCCTGGAGGTTGCTTGATTCAGCCACAGGGGGAGCTGTCACTTCATCCACTATCACACCGAGCCTTTTGATTATAGTATTTCCTCCTTGTTCTCTGGCATTTTTATGGCGCTTTAAGCGGTCCCTAATTTCTCTTCTCACAGCTCACAGCTGTTTTCAAACTGCTTAGGTGGACAGTAAGCTGGGAAATTTTTAACAGCTATTTTTTAAACAGGTATTAACAGTCGGGTGCTCAACCCCAACTCGGGCTTTGAACTTGCAACATTTTGGTCGGCAGTGATTTATTGCATCCGATTAACCAGCTGTGCTACCAGCCTGGCCCTGGAGGGGAGAGGTTGACTACCCAAAAAAGATTACTGCTACCACATCAGTTCTAGATTATTAAATATGTTTTTCTGTGGGTGAGCAGATGGTGGCTACTGGATGGCATATGTTCTGTATCAGAAACTAGAGCTGATGTGGTCTATCCAATGCAACTTTCTGAATCAGCACCCCAAATAACCAAACCAAATCTAAATTTGACCAAAAACAGATTCGTAATTAATACCTTTTGGTATTAATGTTGGAAAGTAGTCCCTAGTCAAGTGGTCCCTGGTCCAAAAAAAGGTTGGGAACCACTGATCTAGTAACAGCCAACAAAAAGGTCCTCTGAAGGACAGTTACTAATCTAGTCCTGGCTGGTTGAGGTAAATATCCTGCAGAAAACCTGAGTATGTTCAGCAGATTGTACAGGAGAAGACAATCCTCCTAGTAACTTGAACCCAAACCATCTAGGACTTTAAAGGTAATAACTGACACTAATTGCCAACCAGTGGAGTGATTTTAATATTGGTGTGAAAACCCCCTACCCTTTGGATTGGGTGGGTAGTAGGTGAGCAATAGACTGATACTGCTATTTATTTATTTATTTATTTATTTGCAGCATTTATATTCCGCCCTTCTCACCCCGCAGGGGACTCAGGGCGGATTACAGTGTACACATATATGGCACACATTCAATGCCAATTTTGACATACAACATATACAGACTTACAAAGAGGCTATTTAACTTTTTCTGGCCGCCAGGGGAGCTGTTGCTTTCATCGTCTATCTGCGACACTGATGAAGTACTTCTGCATTCCCCGCATGATTTTTTAAAAAATTTAAATCAAGAACATTGAATCAGAATGACTGCAAAAAAGTAGATAATTAAAGTTACAGTCTGTTTGAGATATAGAGCGATTTTGGAAAATGGAGATGCTAATATGGCAGCCCTGTAGAACTGACAATTTATGTCATTTGTTTTTATGTCATATTGAAACCTTATTTTATTACATTTGAACTACATGCAGAGGATTTCACGTTGCTCTTGAGTTTCAGTTAATGTTTCTGAACATTCAAAGAAATTGCAATTTTATTGAACATTTAGACACTTAATATATTTTCTGAAACATTGCATTGTCTTGACTAAGCGTAAGTATCTGCCATTGAGTTATGCGCTACCACATACACAATGGTCTCACATGCACAATTTCACTAGTGCCACTACCAGCTGGATATGATCAATGTGCATAATTTTAAAAAATCATTCCATATGCATAGTGACACTTACACCTGCATGTGTCACTAACAGTAAATCTCAACTGTCATGAAACTGCGTGAGAAAATAATGAATATGTGCATACATGTCTTGTCTGTGTTTAGAAAACGCATTGGGAAATATTCTTGGTGTTACAGTTACAGAAGTTGTAATCACTTCATTTCTACATGTCTTCTCACTCCAATGTTTCTCAAACTCTAGTCTTCCGGGTGTTCTGGACTTCAGCTTCCAGAATCCCTGATTGTTGGCTAAAGCAGCTGAAGCAGCTGGGAGGTGAAGTCCAAAATACCTGGAGGATTGAAGTTTGGGGATCACTGCACTAACATCCAAATTCTGCCTATGACAATGTAGTCCAGTTTTTAATTTTTTTTATTTATATCCACCTTTCTCCTAGGTGAAACTATGGCCATTTTCACACAGCGGAATAAAATCCTACACTAGCTGCTTTGATCTGGAATATATGGTAGTGTGGACTTAGATATCCCTGTTCAAAGCAGATATTGTGGGATTTTTCTGCCTTGCTGTTCTGGGTTATATGGCTGTGTGGAAGGGCCCTATTTTGACAATATTTGTTCAGAGGGGTTTCCTATTTTCTTCTTCTAAGGCTGAGAGTGTGTGACTGTCCCAGGGTTCCCTATTATAGCATGTTAGCACTAGAAAAACATTGAAATTGATTAGAAAACTAAAGCACAATAGAAATTTCACATGGTCCTGATTTAAAATAAAGCTAGACAACAAATAAATAAGAACAAAAACAACACTCGGCTGGTTTCAAAAATATTTTACTGTTTTTAACAAGTACAAATGACTTGTGCTGATAACATACTTTTATGGAACAAATGAAGTAAAAAGCTATAAAATATATACTTTTTAGTGATTTCTCTATGAAAACAGCAATAAGGAAATGGAATGTATATTGCATTTGTAAATTGGGCACATTGTACAAAGCAAACAGCAACATTGAAACAAGTATGACCTCACATAAAGAAAGACATTTAGAACCCAATTGGTATTATAAATATAAGAAAAATGCAAATTTCTTTTAAAGATGGTGAAAAATTCAAGTAAATTCAAGTAAAGTAAAGTAAAGTAAAGTATGTTCGCAACATACATTTAAAAATCAAATAGCAACACAATGAAATTAAGCTATGAAAAAATGTAGCCCATTTCTTATTAATTGAATGAAGGCACAGTATAAAAAAATAGTGGCAACAATGTTATGTGTTTATTTTACCCATTTTGCTTGCTATAATTACAAATCGTAGAGCCGGGCAAATAAAACTAGCATGCCAGGAGAAGGCTTGAATATAATGAACCTGCATGGTGTTACTGTCCTTATTACTTATGGTATATGTTTAGGTCTCCAGGATGTGCTAGCTTTTTACACTAAGTATCCAAGGGTAAACATTTAAAAATGCAGTCTTTTACCTGAGTTTGATGTAATACAGGTGAGGAAAGATTCTGCCAAGTAACAGAACTCAATACAAGCAGCACATAGATATTTCTACGAACATGAGATAATGTAAGTTCCTGTGCATGTGTCAATGAAAATGCAGTTTATAAATGAAATGGCTATAGATATGTGTGTGACTTCTTTTGCCAAATCATGTATCTCTTCTTTTGCCAAATCATGTATCTCTGTTCTCCTGGTACACAGACAGTCTGGTAGGCAATTTAAAGGAGAGGGCAGGGCTTTACCAATCCCCATGCTAGCTAGCGGATTCTGGGAGTTGTACCCCAACCAGTAACTTATTCAAGATCTCTGGACATGCCAATATATTCTGTTGTATCTGTATTCATTTTCTCCATACCATTTCAGCTTGTTGATTGTTAGAGAGGCACCTCAAAAGGGCCTAAGTTATATCATATTTAGATGAAGCATAGGAGTGCCTAAACAAAAAGACTGAAATTTCAACTCTCAAGATTATTTGCCATGTCGTGAAAAAGTTACTTTTTGGACTACAACTTCCAGAATCTCCTAGCTGTATCCACAACATGGGGGATTCTGGAAGTAAAAATCAATAAAACCCTGCTTTTTGCCAAAACACAGTAGAGCCAGTCCAAATTCAGGGTCCTTCCACTCTACATAATTATAACACTTTGGTTCCATTTTAAGAGCCATGGCTAAATCATACTGAACCCTGGAACTTGAAGTTTGAGGAGGCACTAAAGCTCCATTTCGGAGAATTCTGAATACATAATGAAACTAGCATTTCAGGATTGAATAGGATGGAATTGTGACAGTTATGGTGATATCAAACTGCTTTAATTGCTTCACATTAAGCGATGCAGGAAGTTGTGGTCTCCTCCTTACTGCAAGACAGAAATACTTCCCCATATATTAAGCAATGTAGTACAGATGTTCCCTGAGGATGTATTTAAATTTTTTTTTCCAGGGCTCCCAAATCGACAATGGTATGTCTATATGAAAGCCAGCATCCATACATCTACCTCCCAAACTGCTGAGAGATACACAAATGCCAATACCAAAACAAGACCAAACTAAGAAGAACAATACATGAAGCTAGTCATTTCCATAATACAAGGGTAGAGACTCTGGAATGTTTGTTTTTATCAGGGATGGTTAACTGCAGGCCTCCCCATGCTGTTGGACTGCACCTCTTTGCAATTGGGTTGTTGCAGGTTTTTCGGGCTGTATGGCCATGTTCTAGAAGCATTCTCTCCTGATGTTTCACCTGCATCTATGGCAAGCATCCTCAGAGATTGTGAGGTCAAAATCTCAGAGGATGCATGCTATAGATGCAGGTGAAACTTCAAAAAGAGAATGCTTCTAAAACACGGCCGTACAGCCTGATAAACCTACAACCACCCAGTGATTCCAGCCATGAAAACCTGCAACAATACTCCTTGAACTTGTTCATTACTGCAAGGCTGCCGAGATCTGCGGTCTGCAAATATCTGAAGGACCACAAGCTGTCCATGTTTGAAATATGTCAAAGAAAGTGGTGCAGGTGGGATACAATCTTCAAGCACCTGACCTTAGAGTAGTTGTACTCACAGACCAAAACTACTTGTTACTTCAAAACTATAGGTAACTGCTTTCTCTCCTTTTTTACTCTAAAGTAAGTTCTCAGGAGCCTACAGTACAGAAACAGGAGACGGTTATATTTAACCTACCACAGTCACAGTGCAAATTATGACTCTGCACTGGCAATCTAAATTATATTTGTCTGTTTTAATGCAGTTTCCCAAGCTAGCAGATATGGCAGACATTTGTGATGTATTTGCTTTCATTTTTGGAGCCTTGCTGTGGACTAGCAGCCAGTGGGTCACAGACGGACACCTGTCTATGCATCATTTGGGATAGCAATGTTTTAATGGTACATTTTATGGTACTGTTACCTGCAGCTAAAGCCCTGTCTCCTGTCCCCTCCCTTCTAGCAAGATCCTAACCCAGTCCCTTCTGTATTTATAGTAACTTATGATTTAGTGCATAAGCACTACTTGGCTGCAAGAATATTCTGACCAATCTTATTACATGCATTGCATTCTTCTTCATTCTGATATAATGCAACTTAATAATGTCCTTTAATCCACATCATGAATTTCAGTATGAGATTTCTTACCTCAGCTTGATAAAAAATCAAGGATTTATAAAAACGTTTTCCTCAATATTAAGGCACTGTCCCTGGCACCACACAAACACTGGAATAGAAGGTTCTCCTATTGGAGGACTTTTTGTTTTTAATGCTAGCAGCAACCCAGTACAGTGGTTATAATCTTCTACTTCTTTCCATTGTAAAGTGCAACATCACTGAAATCAGTTCTTTGCTTTTTTTAAAAAAATGTTTAGTTGCTCTGCCACATTACCTGCCAGATTTTATTAGCAACTATTCCAGAGTTCCATAAAAGTCAGCTTAAAACAAAATCAAATTGGTCACTTAAAAATGTTTTAAATCAGGTGGGCAAAATCTAGGCCACAAGTACTATGTGGCCCTCAAACAGCTTATTCTGGATCCCACTTGAGGTCCCTTCAGCCTCCATTCTGAAAAACATACTGGCAAAAAAAAAGGCTAATATGCCATGCCATGTCTAGCAGCTTCCAGGACTGACAATTTCACTTTTAAAAAATCTCCCCTAAACAGTCCCACTTGCCTTCCGAAAAACACTGAAAATAGATTTTCACCTTCAAAGCTGCTTTTTAAACTTCACTATTGTGCATTTTCAGAACTAAAAACCAGTCCCCAGTCCAGCCAAAAATGCCCATCCAGTTAAGAGGTGGCATTCTTTGGAGGCCTTTGTATTATAATAGCATTCAAAAATAAAATGAAAGACTTTCAGTATTTTGCTTTCAGCTAAAAATTCCCACAACCCTGCTGGTAGGAAAAATTAGGATGGATCAATTTCCATCCATGTATCATCTACACAGATGCATATGTGGATGCTGGTGAAGTTCTGCAATCAGTTCTTCTTCTGTAGGTTCTTCCAAAACATCCCTATCAATCAGAAAACAATAGACATTAGAAATCAAACAGGCAGCTATCTTAGTACCAAAGCTCAGGGAAATTACTTCTTTGGACTGCATTCTCCAGAATTCCACTGACTGTGCTATCTGTTTCTGGGAGTTTTCGCTTCTCTGATTGACTCTCATTTATACCAATTTTGCTAACACGCTCCTGAAACAGTTACTGTAGTTTAATTATATTCCTTTGGGAAATATTGCCTGGTTATTCTAGATGTTTTTGCAGAAGGTATACAGTGATGTTGTATTTTAAGGATCTGCTGTCCATTCGATTGCATTCAAGGAAGTTAGAACTAATTATTCTGAAACTGGCACTTTCTGGACTGTAAACATTATTTGTGAATTGTGGCAAATATCCAACAATTAAGGAAGCAATCACCTGGTATTATTTGTCCAATTTAGAAAATACATTCCTTGTGGGAATTCTGTTGTCAATGGCTATATTCAGTCTTGAAACTTTAGTAAAAAAAAACCTTAAAAAAAGAATCATCTCATTCGATGATTAAAGTGGCAAAAGTCAAGAGCTTAATCTGTCCCGGGAGACCCTAAAAGAAGTACTGATCCCATTTACCTTTTTGTCCTAATGCTGGTTCTGGTTTTTTTTTTTTTGAAGGCCTAGGTGGACAAATGGTGGGGAAAACCAGGGGTGGCTGGTCCCGAGGCAAAACTGATGCCTTCCCTTCTCTGCAAAATGACCCTTGATTTATCTGCAGGTCTTATCAAAATCTATAATTTTAGTCCCAAATTCTGCCCTCAGCTTATGCATGAGGTCAACTTGAATATATAAACTAGTTTTCGGTGGGTTTTTTCCTCCATTAAAATATGAACAAAAAATAAATGTTCTCCCTATCACATCTTGAGACTCACCTGAACATGAGTTCCATTGTCATTTGGTATTCAATGTCAGAGAGAGATGGGCGATGACAGCGACGGTCCCATTTATGAATAAAATTCTGCAGTTCGAGGAAAAGGGCTATTTCAATGGGTCTTCTTACCAAACTTTGACAATCCAAAAACATTATCCAGGCAAGTAGCCAACTCATATGGGCAACATTATTACCCAGAAGGCAATTTATTTCCAGCAATATAGTAAGTGCAATTGGGGTGCAGTAGACAATAAAAACTATGGTTAGGGCTTCTATGACTTACATTCTCTTCTCACATAAGCCACCTCCAGAACTAACAAATCAGAGAAATAACCATCACAATCAGGAGTCCTTTCCCATTACAGAATTATAGAATGATTACTCCACTTTCACTACTACAGCTGTATCTTGCAGAATACTGTGAACTGAAGCACTAGAGTTCTCTGGGTGAGCATTCCACATATCCCACTCTAATTTGTCAACCACAAAAATCCACAGGATGGGACCAGAGCAGTTAAAGTATAATCACAGCACTATAAGTGGTAGTGTGAAAGAACTTTATTTCTGAGGGCCACAATATAAGGTAGTCCAAGTAAGACCTTCAGTAGTAACAATAGAGCTTGGGAAATGAGTACTGCAATGAGTATTGCCATTGAAAAGCCTAGTTTTACACTGTGGAGGAGTTTGTTCCTTCCTATGGCCTGCCCACGAGCCTATAGCTCCACGGGCCCTCTTGCCCCATTCCAAAAGACAATCCTAAGGGGAAGATATGCTAGAATGAGTGTGCTCATGTGGTTTTGTTCCTCCTTTCCATTTCCCAACCAAACTGCCTGGTGAACAAATCCTTGTTGAAAACACAATGATCACACCTTAATGCTGAGTATATGGGCATCACATACACAGCATTTGATAACATGGAAGGCTTAAAGGAGGGGAGGATTCCAACATCTTTTTCCAACTCATCTTTTTCTCACCAATATTTGGATGTTTGGAGGGGTAAGAAGCTGTAAAATATAGACTTGGAAGTCTTTACTAGGACACCACAGGGCTATGTGTTGAGTCCTCTTCTTTACACTCTGTACACATATGACTGCACCTCCATCCATCAGAGAAATATCTTGACCAAATTCATAGATGATATAACCATGGTGGGGCTTATCACTGAAGGGCATAAGTCTGCCTTTCAGGGTGAGGTGCTCTTGTAGTGCAGGGACAGTAATCTGGTTCTTAACATTAATAAGACCAAGGAGCTCACACTGGACTACAGAAAGAATGGACCAGAAATCCAGCCCTTGGTCATAAATAGGAACCAAGTGGAGTGGGTGGCCAGTTTTAAGTTCCTTTATGTCACTGTTAAGGAGGATCATGCACCACACAGCTTCTACACAAGTAGAAAGCTTTCTAGTTCTCTATTCCTACTTCAGTAGTTTCTTCATCAGGAAAATGGGCGGCCATGATTCTTTGATATGTACCTAAAATCCAGGTTTCAAACATCATTAGTTTCTTTGAGTGTCTTTAGAATCCTGAAAATTAAGATTTTCAGGATTCTAAAAACACTCAACCAGCTACCTCTCTTAGTATAGCCTGTCTGTCCCATCTCTCCATCAGGAGGTTTTCAGCCTTTGAGCACAATAGCATCTGGTTTAGCTTGTATTCATGAAAAGCACTCATTTGAGCAGAAAGCCAAACATTACCTCCAGAAGTAAGGCAATGAACAGATTAACCCAAATGACAGAGGAAAACAACCACCAGGTGACGAAGTATAACTTTGACCATCTGAAAAAGAATTTGGGGAGGGGCGGAGAGGGAGGATGAGGAAGAAATCAAAGTAGTGACTATTATGACACATTAATTTGTTTTGAACATACAAATAAACATATAGTTACCTGTCTGGCAATGCAACCTAAGATTAACCACGTTTCAAGTTCATGAAATAAGTCTCATAAAATAAAACATACCAATGTATGTTGTCATTGTGAATAGACTACTCCGGCCAGCTTCTTGCTATGCAAGGGTTTCCCAAATACAAACTACAAGGGCAGTTCTTAAAAGTTATTTTCATCCAGCAATGAGGTCACTTTTTTGTTAGGAAACCTACGGATTAAGGACTAGTCCATTTATCTTGATTTTGGTTCTGTACCTCAAAAAGAGATTAAAGTTTTTAAAACCTTGGGTTTTTTGTTCTTGTTGTTATTGTGTGTCATCAAGACACCTCCATATCGTTTTCTTGGCAAGATTTATTCAGGAAAGGTTTGCCTTTGCCTATGTTCTGGGACGATGGCTTACTGTCAATCTTTGGCTACCACTTCACCATGACCTATACACCCCACCTTTGTGCAAGTGCCTAAAACTAATCAGGAAACGACAGCACATCACAATATCTGAATCCAGGATTCTGGTCTGTTGTTCTCAGACAAACAAGAATAGCATGCTGACAACAAACCACATCTTCCCACCAAAGCAGACAACTGCAAGTACATATTACCTATGGGAAAATATTTAGATAACATTTTGAGAAATCCTAGCTTAAGCTAGATGATGAATGCTCCCCAACTACACAGTTTCAAACCATTACTTACGGAGAAGAATATCTGGAATATGCCTCCAAGAAAACCTGCCAATTGTTGACAACCATCACGTCCCATAGAGTCACTAGTGCTGCCTGGCATATATAAGAAAGAAAAATCAACAGTCTATATAATTTTAATGTGTGATTTTTAGAGAACAGACAAGTGAGACAAACCAATGATGCAAACCAATGATGCAATTACAAGCATGCAAAAATTAACATACTCACAGCAAAATCATCAAAGTTGTTTGGCCAGTACTCCAGTTGTTCATATGTGCCACACTGTAAGGTTGTGTTTCCAGTTGTTATGTTGACCCCACTACAAAAGGATGAATACGTGTAATGTTATTTCAGCACAGTGTGCGAGGTTATATTGCACTGGCCAGACAACACTACAGAACAGGAACATGGCATATCTGGCAGACTTTGCAGCGGACAGAGAAATCAATCCCACATGGCTCTAATATTTGAGGGGCAAAATATTTCCCCTATCATATAATGGAAAGTCAAACATATATACAAGTAATTAATATGTAATTTAAGATCATTTTTCAATTTGATGTTTTGTCTTATATCTGCTATAACAGGCTGTGCTTTTTATTTAACTTTAGTTTGTTAAGTTATAATTCATATTTATATGTTGGGTTGTATAAATTTTGTTAGTATGGATTTATTGTTGTTGTGTTCAGGCATTGAATGTTTGCCTTTTATGTTTGGAATCTGCCCTGAGTCTCTTTGGGGAGCAGAATATAAATAAAGTTTTATTATTTTTAATTTTTATTTATTTATTTTCTGTATAACAAACACTCAGGAATTGGGCTGGCACCCCCTCTTTCAACTCTCCGGGGTCTTTTTACCGGATCTATCAATATTTCTCCATAGAATCAATCCATTTTTAGAAATTTTGTATATAGGGTGAATTTCGTGGGGAAATTCTTTTGCTTTTATATGCAATAGTGAAAAAGTCAAAGATTTGCATCCCTAATTCCTGCAAAGTGTGCAGAGGCCCAAGGTTTTCTTTGATTCCTTAACCTTTGGGCCAAAATAAAAAATGCACAGTGACAATGTTGAGCATTATGTGTACCTCAAATAATGCCATTTAAATCCATTTTAATTCTACATCATAACACAATAAAAAGGTGAGGGTTGACTACTTCTGGACAGCACTGTATACTAGGTGGCATACAAAACACAGGATGGTCACAGGTTCTTCTCAAAGTCAAAGCTAACAGCTGCCTTACCTGATGTTCCCCATGGGAACAATGGTACCTCCGAACAGCTCCATGCCAATTATTGCAAATGTATAGAAAGCCACCTAGAATAGAACAAGTCGGCATTAGTTACCTTCTACTACCAATGTAATGTGGTGCTAGGATTACTGCCAAAAACAATATTCATTATACAATTCAAGCCCATCGTTGCCATAACACACTAAAATGTTAACTTGCACATTTTAATCCCGTTGCAGAAGAAGCCAAAGCAACAAATTCTCAAAGTATGACATTGCTGAGGTAAAATAAAAGCTTCCTAGAAACAGACTCAGCCCATGACATGATCCTAATATCCTTGCATCTCCTAAAAGCAGCTGCAGGTAACCTACAACCCTGTTGATATTGCTGAACTACAACTCTTTTCATGCCTCACTGCTTGCCAGGCTGGTTGGGCTGATCAGGTTTGAGAGTCCAATTGCACCTGAAGGGTTGTAGGATTCCCAATCTGCCTTCAATGTGAATTCTGAGTTATCACTGTTGTACAGAAGACATCTTCCACTGTTCTCCCAGAATATTTGAATGCCTTCTGACTTCAACATTTTGAAGATTGTAGCCAAATATTCTGAAGGTACAATCTTATTGGGACAAACAGCTTGAGTACTTTCCCACTTCTATAAGCAGGAGGAGGTGGATGCTGTTTACTTCAAGTCATCTGTCAGAAGAATATCAGATGTTAGGGGAAGTTCCTCACCAATATAAGGAACAGGCAATATACCAAACCATCCATTCAATAATGCCTTGGCTTTGGGGACTCCTTTTTGCCAGGCAAGGTGGAGTGGAACTGGTTGCTCCTTTGTCCTTTCTTATTTTTGTGATGCCATCAGCTTATCTTTCTCTTCCTTATAATCACTATTACTGCTGCCTCTGGGTAACTATTGGGGTATCTGCTTTTATTGAGCAGCCACAGGCCCCACTATTACTATTGTTGGGACCGGTTATTGCACTTTACCCATTCCCCTTGTCCCCTCATGTCTTGCCTTCACTAGCCTCGGTCTGGCCTTCTTAATTCGCCTAGGCCCATTCTGAAATCCTGGCCCGAACAGTAATTTTGCATGAAAGAACAAGGTAAGATTGGTTTTGAATGCATATGTGTTGTTTTGATAATTTTATGCTTATGTTTTGCTTACTCTGTATGTTTTGGGGTTTTGTTACATGGAAACCGCCCTGAGTCCCCTAGGAGAGATACAGCGGTATATAAATAACGTTTTTTTAAAAAAAAAAATTATTGTGCTCCTTATGCAATAGAGAAGCTGCATTTTTCTCAACATCTGAATACTATGATTCAAATGATAACTATTGTGGGGTGCTTTCAGTACCTGCTGGGGCTTGATTCCATGGATCTTCAAGTCCCATGGTATACAGTGGTGTTATATAAAATGGGAAACAATTCAAGCAAGTACTAGAGAGAATCCAGGGATCTGTGAAATGGTAGGCAACTACAGCAGGGTATACCTACACATTGGTGTAGCGTTCAGCATATGGCCAAATCAAAATGCGCTTCCGGAATTTTTTTTTCAAATATTTTCAAACTATGGTTATTTGAATTCATGGGTATAGACTTATGGATACGGAGAGCTGACTTCGGGGTGAGAAGGGTGGAATATAAATGTTTTAAATAAATAAATTTTAAAGATCGCTTTTAGCTTAAAAACCAAATATTATTAGTTTAAGACACATTATCAATAAGAAGTAATCAGAGTCAAATCACGTGTAATACATTCAAAATATACAAAATGTGCCACTGCTAGTTATATAGAAGCTACAAAATTAGACAAAAGTAATATTCATCTGTTAATATGTAAATTTCTGTTAATAGGTAAGTTTTTGTTACCAAAAGGTCTTTTAATTATTTGCCAAAATGTTCTGAAGAATGATGGTTCAGTCTTCAGCTTGCAATTCCTATATCCGCCATTAAGTGGAGCTTCGAGATAACTCAACATTCTCCATTATCTAATTTTATTTGAACAACTGACTAAAACCCAGGAAGCAATATTCAAGGGTTTGAAGCAAGATCTCCAACATGCTAAAGGGACTGTACCTGAAACTGCTTTAATAGGCACTACATAAATTGGGAAAGAGTGCTGCAGTGGCACAGTGGGTTAAACCACTGAGCTGGTGAACTTGCTGACCAAAACGTCGGCAGTTTGGTTCAAATCCACAAGATGAGGTGAGCTCCCACTGTTAGCCCCAGCTTCTGCCAACCCAGCAGTTTGAAAATGCAAATGTGAGTAGATAAACAGATACTGCTCCAGCAGGAGGGTAACGGTGCTCCATGCAATCATGCTGGCCACACTGTCTAGGAGGTGTCTATGGATAATGCCAGCTCTTCAGCGTAGAAATAGAGATGAGCACCACCACCCCCACCACCCCACCACCCCACCCCCAAGAGTAGGACTCGACTAGACTTAATGTCAAGGAGAACCCTTTTACCTAAATTCTCATATTAACTCTCACAGAGAAAAGAGAAATTGACCTGTGATGCTTCAGGCAAGAGAAAATACGAAGTCCTTTGTAGGAGTTTTCTAATGCAGAGATGTATCTTACACAGAAAGCATCTTGTTGTATTAAAAAGACTTCATAACAGTGTTAGGAAAGGCAATTAATCATAACACACTTTGAATGGCATAGCAAAAGGCATCTGAGAAATTCTAATAACAACATTAAGCAGAAAAAGTTGGGAACCAATGAAGAATCTTTGGAACTTGGAGGAGATAAATGGTTTCTCTGAATTGAAAATTTCCAACACTCCAGTTGTCGAAACAACATGTCTAGATACCCAGGCACTAAAAGAGATTCTTTTCATTTATTTAATGAATTTTTAGTTCAAATGGTTCACAGACTGACTATCAAATGATCAACAAGGAAATCAGCCTCCGGCTACAAGCTTCTAATATAAAAACGCATAGATAAAAATGGGAAGAAAAAAAGAAGCAAATGCAGGCACCAAGTTCCAGAGCAATTAGCTGATTTATTAATTAAACATAAGAATTAAAGGAAAAAGAGATAATAAAAAACAGACATTGTAAATGATTAATCTCATAAAATTATGAAAACAAACAACTGTTCTAATTTCACCAAGATTCACACCGGAATATTGCCAAAATTATTTGGCAACAATATTTTGTATATGTATCATTCTTCATTTCCACTTACCACTAAGATCCCTGCAAAACTTCTTATATTTTTCACCATATCCAGCAGTGTGCTGGCAACTAAAGACATGAACTGCAAAGAAGATAAATAGTGTTTAGCACTCTTGATATTTTTTCAGATGATAACCAAATTCATATCAAGGTCTATATAGCACCCCAGTAGTACCTTTATGTTGGGGATGATACGCAAAAATCTGAACACTATCAGCATGTTTGCTAGACGGACCATGTCCCACAGAGACAGCAAGCCCAACATTTCAGGACGCCTATGAAAAGACAAGGAGACTTACAACAAAAGCCGAGCCAGAAGACCAGCAAGATGAACTGAGACAGCTCTTCTAGCAGACTACAGGCATAATCATTAGTCACTTAAAATGCCATTATTTGGAAAATCAATAAAGACGACACTAAGTAAGGGCATCCAGATATCCATTGAGGGTCTTGGAACATAGCCCCATGGATAAGGGGAAAATATATGCAGATTTAGTAGAAACAGAGGGATGAGCCTCCAAAGGTTTAGAAGAAGGAGAGGATTACAGGCCATAAAAGGACAGTAATTTGTTCCCCATGCCATGAACTTGCAGCTGATTTAAATCAGAGTTTGAAAATCTTACATTTCTGGTTGACATTTCCCCAGGTCCATCAGCTGGTTGGTAGATTGTAGTTCAAGAAAGTAGCATCTCCAAGCTCAGCTTTGATGCCTTGCTTGTGAATTCCTATCCTAACGCATCACATCCCCATATTTTAACAAGAGGCAGAAAGATAAGCCACCGGAGGTATCAACTGATCAGTAGCCACAACTTTTCATAAACATTCATACCAGCCTGGATGAGGAAATCCATACACAGCAAACGTTGACACCTCCAAAACCTTTGAGGAGAAGAGACAAAAATGTATTAATTGTAACTATTAATGAATACGTAGTTCAAGTTGCATGCTAGATTATATCCAACTGGGCATGGACTGAGTATCACTGGCAGTGTGCATTTCCTCTCTCCCTTATAGCCTCCCAGAAGTAGGAAGACTCCCCAGATCAGAAGGACACAGGATGGGATCAATTTCTTCAAAATAAATTCCCTGCCCAAGTATGAATGTGGTCTTTGGGGAAAAGGTAGGAGAGGAAGTTAACTATCTTTAACATGTCATTTCATGCATATCTAAGAGCAGTGTAATATGCATGCATTACATTAATTCAAAAACACACTGGGCATTTACTCTGTCCTTGTATTACAATTGTGAAATCTATTACTTTCTTTATAACCCATGGAGTTTTTTTTTTCAAAGATGATATTCAATTATGCTTATAAAATAAAATTATTCACAGGCTGTTATTTATTTTCCTATCCTGTGTTGTTGTTGTTGTTCATTCGTTCAGTCGTCTCCGACTCTTCGTGACCTCATGGACCAGCCTACGCCAGAGCTCCCTGTCGGCCGTTACCACCCCCAGCTCCCTCAAGGTCAGTCCATTCACTTCAAGGATGCCATCCATCCATCTTGCCCTTGGTCGGCCCCTCTTCCTTTTGCCTTCCACTTTCCCCAGCATAATTGTCTTCTCTAGGCTTTCCTGTCTCCTCATGATGTGGCCAAAGTACTTCAACTTTGTCTCTAGTATCTTTCCTTCCAGTGAGCAGTTGGGCTTTATTTCCTGGAGGATGGACTGGTTGGATCTTCTCGCAGTCCAAGGCACTCTCAGAACTTTCCTCCTACACACCACAGTTCAAAAGCATCTATCTTCCTTCGCTCAGCCTTCCCTAAGGTCCAGCTCTCACATCCGTAGGTTACTACAGGGAATACCATGGCTTTGACTAGGCGGATCTTTGTTGCCAGTCTGATGTCTCTACTCTTTACTATTTTATCGAGATTGGACATTGCTCTCCTCCCAAAAAGTAAGCGTCTTCTGATTTCCTGGCTACAGTCTGCATCTGCAGTAATCTTTGCACCTAGAAATACAAAGTCTGTCACGGCCTCCACGTTTTCTCCCTCTATTTCCCAGTTGTCAATCATTCTTTTTGCCATAATCTTGGGGGTTTTTATGTTTAACTGCAACCCAGCCTTTGCGCTTTCTTCTTTCACCTTGATTAGAAGGCTCCTCAGCTCCTCCTCGCTTTCGGCCATCAAAGTGGTGTCATCTGCATATCTGAGGTCGTTAATGTTTCTTCCAGCAATTTTCACCCCAGCTTTGCATTCATCCAGCCCCGCACATCGCATGATGTGTTCTGCATACAAGTTAAAAAGGTTGGGTGAGAGGATGCAGCCTTGCCGTACCTTTCCCAATCTTGAACCAGTCTGTTGTTCCGTGGTCAGTTCTGACTGTTGCTACTTGGTCCTTGTACAGATTCCTCAGGAGAGAGACAAGGTGGCTTGGGATGCCCCTCCCACTAAGAACTTGCCACAATTTATTATGATCCACACAGTCAAAGGCTTTAGAATAGTCAATGAAGCCGAAGTAGATGTTTTTCTGAAACTCCCTGCCTTTCTCCATTATCCAGCGGATATTGGCAATTTGGTCTCTCGTTCCTCTACCTTTTCTAAACCCAGCGTGAACATCTGGCAACTCTCGCTCCATGTATTGCTGGAGTCTTCCTTGCAGGATCTTGAGCATTACCTTACTGGCATGAGAAATAAGGGCCACTGTACGGAAGTTTGAGCAGTCTTTCGCATTTCCCTTTTTTGGTATGGGGATATAAGTTGATTTTTTTCCAGTCTGATGGCCATTCTTGTGTTTTCCATATTTGCTGGCAAATGGCATGCATCACCTTGACAGCATCATCTTTTAAGATTTTAAACAGTTCAGCTGGGATCCCGTCATCTCCTGCTGCCTTGTTGTTAGCAATGCTTCTTAAGGCCCATTCAACCTCACTCCTCAGGATGTCTGGTTCTAATTCATTCACCACACCGTCAAAACTATCCTCAATATTATTATCCTTCCTATACAGATCTTCTGTATAGTCTCGCCACCTTCGCTTGATCTCTTCAGCTTCTGTTAGGTCCCTGCCATCTTTGTTTCTTATCATACCAATTTTTGCCTGAAATTTACCTCCAATGTTTCTAATTTTCTGGAAGAGGTCTCTTGTCCTTCCTATTCTGTTGTCTTCTTCCACTTCCATGCATTGCTTATTTAAAAATAGTTCTTATCTCTTCTGGCTAACCTCTGGAATTGCGCATTTAACTGGGCATATCTCCCCTTATCCCTGTTTCCTTTTGCTTTCCTCCTTTCTTGGGCTACTTCCAGTGTCTCAGCAGACAACCATTTTGCCTTCTTGTTTTCTTTTTCTTTGGGACATACTTTGTTGCCGCCTCCTGAACAATGTCTCAGACTTCTGTCCATAGTTCTTCTTGGACTCTGTTTACTAAATCTAGTCCTTCAAATCTGTTCTTCACACTGTATATTCGCTAGGAAAGTTAGTGAGATCATATCTAACTGGTCTGTGTATTTTCCCTGATCTCTTTAGTTTTATTCTAAATTGGGCAATAAGAAGTTCGTGATCTGAGCTACAGTCAGCCCCAGGTCTTGTTTTCACCGACTGAATGGATGTCCGCCACCTTTGGCTGCAAAGGATGTAGTCAATCTGATTTCGGTGTTGACCGTCTGGTGAGGTCCATGTGTAAAGCCGTCTTTTAGGTTGTTGGAAGAGAGAATTCGTTATACACAGCGAGTTTTCCTGGCAAAATTCTATCAGCCTGCGTCCCGCTTCATTTTGTTCTCCCAGACCATGCTTGCCTGTGATCCCAGTTGTCATTTGACTTCCCACCTTGGCATTCCAGTCTCCTGTAATGAAAATAATGTCTCTTTTTGGTGTATTATCCAGTAGGTCCTGCAGATCCTCCTAGAACTGATCTACTTCTGCTTCTTCAGCAGCTGTGGTTGGGGCGTATATTTGGATCACTGTAATGTTGAAAGGCTTTCCTTGCACTCGAATTGAGATCATTCTGTCATTTTTTGGGTTGTATCCAAGCACCGCTTTAGCGAATTTCTTATTAATTATGAAGGCTACTCCATTTCTTCGATGTTCCTCTTGTCCGCAGTAGTAGATCTGGTGGTCATCTGATGTGAAGTGGCCCATTCCCGTCCACTTCAGTTCGCTGACCCCCAGAATGTCTATCTTTAGTCTTGACATCTCGCCAATAACAACATCCAATTTGCCCTGGCTCATAGATCTTACATTCCAGGTTCCTATGGTGTGTTGATCTTTAGAGCATCGGATTCGTCGTTCACCTCCAGTACCGTCGGCCGCTAGCCTTCCTTTCGGCTTTGAGCTAGCTGCGTCATCACATCTGGAGCTAGTTGAACTTATCCTCTGCTCCTCCCCAGTAGCATTTTGGCCATCTTCCGACCTGGGAGTCCCATCTTCCAATGGCATACCGACATATCTCTGGTTGTACTGGTCCATTTAGTTTTCTTGGCAAGGATACTGGAGTGGTTTGCCATTGCCTTCCCCAGGGATCACGCTTGGACTGACCTCTCTGCCACAACCGTCCCGTCTTGGGTGGCCCTTCACGGTTTCGCTCATGACATCATTGAGGTGCTCAAGCTCCAGCGCCCCGACAAGGCGGTGATCCTTTGCTGGAGTTCCTATCCTGTACTCTCAAACAATCAAGTTGTTTCCAATTACTTTGGTTGTAAAACAGGGACAGAATGGAAGCTGTTCAACAATACTCACCATCAGAACACTGGTCAGAAGCCCATCAAAGATGTTGCTTGGATATGACAAATATCTTCTCAATCCCAGCGCTATTATTTTCAGCAACATTTCCAAGAGGTAGTAGAAAATGAAGACACAGTTTATAACCTTGAAAATTCAAAATGAAGATGCAACTGAGACTTGTGATTTCAAAGAAGGGCCCATGTATGAAATGTCATGATGAGAAGAGAGAACCTCACCCCTAAAAAGAAGTCATCCCGCTCAGTAGGTGGCTTATCTGAATCTATTACCATGATTACCTGTGGGGAAAAGCAGATAGCAATCAATAGGTACTGGATTTTTAAAAATACGACATTAAAGAAGTGTGAAAACTACTTTAAAAATGTATCACATGTTTTGTTTAGAAAATTAATTAAGTAAAAACTAGCTACCAATGGTGGAGTGGGAGAGAAATGCCCCAAGTCTACGCCGCCGCCGCCACTTGTAAATATTAGGGGGAGAACTACAACATTTGAAAAATTAGTTGCAACATTGCAAATCTCATTCCTACAAACGTGTTGCTCCCTTGCACTACCCCTCAATTAGGAAAAAATCATTTCTGTTTTTGGACAAAATGGAAGTGACATCCCATTACTATGGTTTGGGTGTGGATGGGTCAGTATTTATTTATAGTTTATTTATTTCAGAAATTTATATCCCGTCCTTCTCACCCCCAGAGGGGGACTCAGGGCAGCTTACAACTGGCAACCATTAGATGCCAACAACACAGTTAAACATTAATTAAAACATCATTCTAAGTTGAAAAGACCATCGGTAGGCAAAAATTAGCCCCTGCTCCCCATAATAGTTGTCTACTTGAACTATGGGTACTGCAGTTGGACATTCCTACTATTATTGTTACTTCTCCATGATCCTGCACCATCCAATCGAGTTGATGTCAATAGCAGTCCAATAGCGCCAAAGAATCCCTGCCTTGCGCTTTGAAACTGATCAATGGAACAGTCAAACAATATCAACTGCATACTTTTTATTTCACAGCTACTATATCAACAATGTCACTAAGCAGATATGTAAAGAAATCAAAAGGTGTCATTTGACAGAAATGTAATGTAATACCAGTTACTACTGAAAACAAGAAAACCTTTCCAAAACACTGTAGAAAAGTAGCCATAAAATGTTTTTTTCCCACTAGCTTCCAGCTATATCTGCAGACATCTCAAAAGAGGAGCAAAAGTAACCAAACACCAAGATCTAGATCCACATCCAATTACAATGTAGTTTAATTCAGGTGGCAGGGGAGGGAGAGACAAACAACAGCTTTTTTGGATGAAGGGTATAGCACTTTTCTCTATACAGCAAACCTACTCTGTAGGTCAGACTGAGAAAGAATATCTGGCTTAAGGTTATTGTTTAAGTTCCATGATTAAGAGGTCTGGACTGAGATCTCTTGAGTTTAACACACATGCTCTCAAAAAGTAATACAATTGTTCATTATAAGTTTTAAAAGGTTAGTTGTATCATTGTATAACAGCTACGTGATCTATTTTGTGTGTTTCTATGTATGGTCTGCTTGTGGATTTCCTACAAGTAAAACCTGACTACCACCAATGGGATGAGAATGGTAGAATTTCCCTAAAATCCATCTGTGTTCTCATGAGAGAAGTTGAGTCAATTTAGAGCAAATGACAAGAGAGATTATAATACTATTTGCATACTTACACAGACAGAGAAAACGTTTGCTAAAGCTATAGCATTGCCTAAATACCCAAAGTAGTGATGGCCAAAGATAAGCTGAATCTTCTGTAGAAAAAGTGACTGATAATCTGGCATGGCAGGGCGCTGGGAAAAAACAAACAAACATATGCCTCATCAATCTGACATTTTTTCAAGATGTATGTTTATTTATCTGCATTTTAAACCATCTGTTACAGTAAAGATCTCTAGGCAATATGCAGTCTTCAAGAATATGGCCTGGATCTAATTGTTAGTTCTAAATAATGTAGACACAATGAAGTAGATCAAATGGAGAGACCCGCTGAATCAATGGAGTCTTTATTTGACACTTAACTTCATGTATGCATCACTGAGTTCTTTTACACTCACCCAAGCATTACTTTGGGTACGGTTTTCCTACATATAAAACAATCGAAACAACATTTGATAAATTGGCAAATTGTACTCTTGCCAGAACATTAAAAAAATAACAGGAAACTAAAAGAACATGACCTTGAGATCAAAGAAATGAAGGAAGGATCAGAAACAGAAAGGAAAAAAAACCTTAAACTCTTCTTCTGAACTCTAAACAACAAATTTTGTTTGATAGCTGTGCACCACTAACTACAAGTATTTCAATAGTTCTAGGTAAAGAATCAGTATAACTATAAGTTTTTATATTGATAGATATCAAGGGTGATCACTTTATTCCATCAAAAAATGAAAAGAAAAAAAGAGTCTGAAAAATAAAAACAAATGGGAGCTTGTGGCACTAGAGGTTGACCATAGAATTGCACTAGAGGATACAGATATTAATAGAAAAAAAACATATCAATCAAGTCCACACTTAATCAAATCCCCAAAAGTTAAACCCATAAATGTGGCGGGCCAACTTCTATTGGATTGTACAAAAAAATGTGGCTCTAGGAGGCCAGAATCCTGCCCCAGAACATAAGATTTCACCAAATTCAAAGTCTTTAGTTGTATTCACAGCAACACTTTCACCTCATAAACTTTCTCTGGTTTGGAAGGAAAAGTCTACACAAATGAACACAGTCCAGTTTTATATTATATATCTGAGGGCAGGAAGATGGTGTGCAAGCTTTAGACTTGCTCCTGTGGCTATGACATTCAAGATGCAGTCTACATCACAGCTATTTCTCCAACCAGAGCACAACATTATATCTAATTCTCCAGGCAGACTCAGTAGCCTACCGATCACACATTTATGAGGACTACAAGAATTATGCCACCTCCATACCTCTTTAACTTTGTGAGTATCAAGTTCATCAAAAAGTGTCTGGAACTGAGCAGCGGACAGTCCACCTGGAGGATACGATTCCAGCTTCTGTGTGTACAACAGAAACAAGTATTTAAACATATAGATTTCAAGTTTCAGTCCAGACAGTAACTTTCCATTATCACCTAAAAGCAATGTTGGTTTAAAAGTGAAAATAAAAAAAGAAGATCCCTACCACAATGATGGCTTCCTTACAGTATGGATCCATTTTTACTTTCTGGAGTACTTGAATCATCTCCTCAGACTGGACACAAAAGCTATGTAAGAAAAAAGTAAAGTACTTGAGTAAGGAACAACTGGGCTTCAATTCCTCTAACCTTCACACACTACAAGGATATGAACCAAAGAACTGTGAGATAACATTAAATATTTAATGTATCTTTGACTTACATATTTTTATTCATTGGTGTCTCTTTCAAAGAGCAGAGAACTTCAAATGCAGCCCGGATTCCTAACCGCCTCCGGAAAAGTGAAGACTGAACTGATTTCTGAAAGAAAGAAAGAAAGAAAGAAAGAAAGAAAGAAAGAAAGAAAGAAAGAAAGAAAGAACCAGTCTGTCACCAAAAATATATCAGAAAAGTTTGCCAGATCACAAAGTAAAATATAAGGAATACTTATAAGGAATGAAGACAATAATACTAAAATCTAAACAGGAAGAAATATTTTTTTAAAAAAGAGAAAAAAAGAAAGAAGAAGCAGAAGAAAATCATGTGCTAGCAAGACACTGTAACAAACTTGTACTGGTTCTGGGTAAGTATCACCTTTTATTAGGCACAAACTATGAAGGAAACAGATTCTTTATCTTCCCTTTATATTCCACCTAGAATTCCAGAGAGGAACTATGTTATCTGGGTTATCTGCTGCTGAGAAGTGCAAGCAGAAGGATCCTGCTTTATTATATCTAACAACAAGATTAGGCTAGCACCCTTCCTATCAACGTTTCGCAAAAAACTAAAAACGTGGATGTTCCATTGTGCATTTGATTAGGCAATTCCCTGGACAACTGGCCTTAACTATGACCTAAGTCTTGTCATTGAACCTTACTACAATTCTACCCAAATTCTTAATTATCCAGTTGAAACTGATCTTATCCTTTGGCTTCTTTATCATCTACACACTTTAATCATTAGAACTACATTTAAATTGCTGTGCACCAGACCGTTGTCCTACAATGAGACTTGAATTATACTATTGCTTGTTGTTTCTGATGCTTGTTTTATTGTTATAATGTTGCTTATTGTTTTAATTGATTATTGCATTTTGTACATATTATGTTTTAACTGTCGACTGGGTTTGGCCCTCTGTAAGCTGCCTCAAGTCCCTTCGGAGAGATGGAGGCAGAGTATAAAAATAAAGTTGTTGTTGTTGTTGTTATTATTATTATTATTATTACTACTATTATGTAGTCTATTCATCCCAGCTGGGTAGTCTCTTTGAGAACAGAATGCTGGACTAGATAAGGATGTGCTCTGGAGTATAAAACAATACATGCACACATATACATTTTGTAATTAAAACACTGATGTGATTGGGTGGGACCACAACAGCATCTTATTGTGGGAAATGTCTGTTCATAACCTTGGTTTGTCCAAAATTAATACTACTAGAGTGGCAGTGTAGTGTACTGGTTTGAGTGTGAGATGAAGGTTGGACAAGTTTGGAGACCAGGGTTCAAATTCTCCGGCATGGAAACCTAGTGGGTGGCCTTGAACAAATCACAACCTCTCAGAGGAAGGTAATGAGAACTCCCATCCCATTTTGAACAAATCCTGCCAAGCAAACCCTATGATTATTATTATTATTATTATTATTATTATTATTATTATTATAACTTTATTTGTACCCCGCTAGCATCTCCCAAGGGATTCGATGCGGCTTACAACAGGCTGGAGTCCAACACAATACAACAATACAGTACATAGCAAATAAACCAGTTAAAGCAGAAAACAATAACAAAGAAGTACAACAGGACATTCTTAAAAACTGAGCCGGCCGGAGTAGGGTACAGGATTAAAAAGTGCTGAAGTGTCGGAGGGATATGGGATTAAAATATAAGTGCAGTGTGCGGTGAGGGTGATCTTGACTCTACTAAAGTGCTTCTGGGCTTTGGTAGTGGGGTTCCTAAACTGAGAAGGCACGTTGGAACAGCCAGGTTTTCAGGTTCTTTCTAAAAACCGCCAAAGTAGGGGCCTGTCTGAGATCTTTCGGGAGGGCGTTCCAGAGGCAGGGGGGCACCACAGAGAAGGCCCTGTCCTGCGTCCCCACCAAACGCGCCTGCGACGCGGGCGGGATCACGAGCAGGGCCTCTCCTGATGACCGGAGCGTGTGGGTTCGTAGACTGTGATGCGGTCACGCAGGTAGGGTGGTCCCAAACTGTTCAGGGCTTTGTAGGTAAGCACCTGCACCTTAAATTGGGCTCGGAAAATAAACGGCAGCCAGGTGAGCTCCTTAAACAGGAGGGTTGACCTCTCTCTGTAATGGGCCCCCGTTAACATCCTGGCTGCTGCCCGTTGGACCAATTGGAATTTCCGAGCCGTTTTCAAGGGCAGCCCCACGTAGAGCGCATTGCAGTAATCCAGTCTAGAGGTGACTAAGGCATGGACCACCCTGGCCAGATCAGCCTTAGCGAGGTACGGGCACAGCTGGCGCACAAGTCTCAGTTGTGCAAAAGCCCTCCCGGCCACCGCCGACGCCTGAGCCTCAAGCGTGAGTGATGAGTCCAGGAGGACTCCCAAGCTGCGGACCTGTGGCTTCAGGGGGAGTGTAACCCTGTCCAACACAGGTTGCCACCCTATACCCCGATCTGGCTTATGATCGACCAGGAGGACCTCTGTCTTGTCAGGATTGATCTTCAGCTTGTTCGTCCTCATCCAGATGGACACAGCGGCCAGGCACTCATCTAGCACCCGAGAGGCCTCCTTGGAATTAGGTGGAAAAGAGTAGTAGAGTTGTGTGTCATCTGCGTAGAGATGGCACCCAACTCCAAAACTCCGGATGACCTCTCCCAGCGGTTTCATGTAGATGTTAAAAAGCATGGGAGATAAAATAGAGCCTTGCGGGACCCCACAGGTCAAAGGCCAGGGGTCCGAGCAGGCATCTCCCAGCTTCACCATATGGGTTCGTCCCTCCAGGAAGGACCAGAGCCACGACAGAACCGTGCCCCCAAGGCCCATCCCAGAGAGCCGACCCAGAAGGATACCATGATCGATGGTATCGAAAGCCGCTGAGATGTCCAAGAGGACCAGCAGGGTTACACTTCCCCTGTCCAGTCCTCTACGGAGGTCATCCACCAAGGCGACCAAGGCTGTCTCGGTGCCATGACCAGGCCTGAAACCAGACTGTGCCCGATCCAGGTAACTGATGTCATCCAGGATGCCCTGGAGCTGGAGGGCGACCACCCGCTCCAGCACCTTACCCAGAAAAGGAAGGTTGGAAATCGGTCTGTAATTGTTCAGCACCGTAGAGTCAAGGGACGACTTTTTTAGGAGTGGGCGAACCACAGCCTGTTTCAAGTTAGATGGAAAAATCCCTTGCTCCAACGATGCGTTAATGATCAACACAAACCAATCAACCAACCCCTCCTTGGCAGATTTGATAAGCCAGGATGGGCAAGGGTCTAGAACCGAAGTGGTCGCCCTCACAGCCCCAAGAACCTCCTCCACGGTCTCAGGAAGAACAAGCCAAAAAGAATCCCACAAAATTGGACAAGCAGATGCCTCAGATTGGCTCACTATAAGTGTGAGATGACTTGAAGTCACACAGAAGTGGTAACTGGGAGGTGCCAACCATGGTGCCTTGTCCACTCAATCACCACACAACACAATGACAACTTCATTGTACCACCATTCCCATCAACCTTCCTCCTCATGAGGTTGTAGCATTGACAAGACTAAAACCAATATTGAAGTGATTCCAGAATACAACTTGCAATGAACACAGCTGTTTGGTACTGGTGTGGGATATGATCTCTAGTAACACCTTAGCAGCCCTGGTGCCATATTTTCCTCCCACCAAAACTTCTGGAGGCTTTTCAAGACAGCAGATTGCAATAGTGTAAATGAGTTGTACCCAAGGCACAGATAACTCTTTTCAGATTTGGCTGGTTCAGGAACAATCGTCATTTAGAACCTAAACACTGCTGAGCAAACATACTTCTTGACACTCTATCAGCAGACAATCCAAGGACAACACAACATGAAGGATAACACAAGAGGTAAGAACAACATCTTTTAAAGAACAGGGATGCAACTCCTTGAACTCAGTCCTGAACCAGACTTTCTACTGGTCAACACTACCTCAGTCTTGTTTGTATTTAACCTTCATGCCTTCACCCTTATCTAACCCATTGTCAAAATTAGGCAACATTCATTGTCACTCACCAGAAGGTATCCACGAAACTGATTGTATATTATTGCTGTAAGCAAGTTCATCAGAAATAAGTTTCCTGTAAGAAAAATATTTCTTTAAAAAAAACAACAACAAATGTTTATCTCTCTAGACAGAGAAGATGAAAATAAAAACAGTTCTCAAGAGAAGCTGGTAGAGCTTCCATTTTCTACAGCAAATTTGATTACAAATGTAAATATCACATTTTGAACTTTATCTGTTCTAACACACTTGCAGAAAAAAATGCTGAAAAATACTAAGGTAGTTGAACCTCAGTATAAGGTGAAATGAACAAGTCTTACATTTAAACTAACTGGATTTGTAGTGATATCAATCAATGTCATATAAGTTCATTTTTTAAAAATACCATCTTAAATAATATCATGATGCATAGCAAATTTTAACCCAACAAATTTTAAATGGACAGAGAAACCAGCAGGAATGTTGTTTCTTTTTTTAATAGAGTCAGAAGAGTTAAAGACTAATGAATACACAATAGAATAGATGGCTGGGAAGTATTAAGAAACCATTCTGTCTGGCATGTGCTTAGCCACTGAAACAGGATTAGAAAGTCATAAAGCTTTTCACCTTGGCATGGCTCACTTACAGAACTCGGAATTGATAAGGGGGAAAAAATCAACATTGTGTTTGCACCCTCACTGACCCAAGAATACCAACAATACTACTTTTACTGCTTAAGATGCCCATTTGTGTTCCCTCTCTATTTGGCATGTCAGCCTTACTACAGTCCATCCTGGTGACCCCAACAACTGGAAAATTACCTCTTTCACCAACACTGCACTAGAGTCTGTCCAGACTCTTCTTCAGTTTCATCTTCTAAAGATGGAGCCCCCAGTGATACAGTGGGTTAAACCCTTGTGCCAGCAGGACTGAAGACCAACAGGTCATAGGTTCAATTCCAGGGTGAGCTCCCTCTGTCAGCTCCAGCTTCCCATGCGAGAATGAGAGAAGCCTCCCACAAGGATGGTAAAAATATCAAAACATCTGGGCGTCCCCTGGGCAATGTCCTACCAGACGGCCAATTCTCTCACACCAGAAGTGACTTGCAGTTTCTCAAGTCACTCCTGACATGAAAAAAAATCTTCTAAAGATGCCCTGTTTTTATGTCTATTATTTGAAGTACTCAAGATGAGACTGCAAACATACAGGGGAAATTGCAAATGGAAATTTTAGTCAATGTCTTGCAGATATCTACAGTATTTCTTTGAAGAAAAAAACTCAACTCACCTATCACTGTGAAGAATATAAAGAAAATGGAATATGCTCGATTTTTTGAATAGGCAGGAATCATCACTGTGAAAAAAGTAGAAAAGGAAGTTTAAACAAATCAACTCCTATAACTGCAGAATGCATTTCTGAAGTTCACTTACTCATGCCTGGGAAAAAATGGTATCTAGGAATTTGCAAGCTTCTCTGGTATGCTTTCCTCAGACAGTACCATAGAGTTGTTTTAGGAGGTATGCTAATTTAATATCATTCAGTGGTATACACCATTTCAAGTAACTCTTATAATTTAAAAGTGTGTTGACTAAAGAACACTAGAACTAAAGGAGCTACATACACAGCAAGTTGAGAGGAACATGACTGAGACATGACTAATGGTGACTCTATTTACATCTACTCTTCTAGGGAAAAAGAGAGGAAACATACCACCACCCCATGTATGGCCACAATTGAAGAACTGAGCCCATTTTAGTTCTATTCGTTGTGAAAAGAGGAAAGAAATGTCCTTGGAATGGGAATACTTACCATCTGGATTATTTGCAGTTGTTAGCAGTACAAGCAAGGAAGTCAATGAATCAGGCAAGCTATGAAAATAGCCTTGCCACTCTTTGTCCTGTTGTGCATCCTAGTTGGAAAGACCAAAGTCGTTACACAAAGGAATTCTAAAGAGTCAACTAGAACCAGTCAAAACCTATCCATAACCCTAGAGTCATATTACTGTCCAAATTTAGACACACAGAGACATACTTACAGGACACAAATCTAGCTTCAAAAGACTGTTTTTAGGAAGTCCTCTTTGTTAATTTTCCTGTTACATTTTACTACTTTTGTTTTTGTTTTTTGTATCTCAGACAGGATCTGGGGGGCAGGGATATACTTTGATAGATTACTTACATTTTGAAGGCTTGTTTATTTACATGAGTTAGGCAAACACAATGGGGAAAGCAATGATGACATAGAACACAGGGAAACCAATGGAATGTGCTGCAGCATTTCCTTCATAGCCAGCAAGCAAAAGCAAGTGAGTTATTGCTGGGAGTGAAGGGAGGAAACATTCACAGATATAGGGACTACATAGAGGTAAGCAGCATCCCTGCCTGGCAGAAACAAGCTGGGAGCAAATGGAAGGCCACACTTGGGTGCCAAATGGTCATTTCTGACATGGAAATCTTAATGCAACTCTATCACAGAATGTGTGACTTTCCTAAAGTCACACAGTGGGTTTTCATAAACAAACAGGGAATCAAACCCTGGTCTCCAGATTTGTAGCCCAATGTTCAAACTGCAATGCCATGTTCGCTCTCTCATAAGTAATGATACACACAAAACTGACTGCAATAGGGTGTGCACACATAAAAGGGAACAAGAAATAAAACTTCAGAAAGACGACACTTAAAAACAAAATCTTAAAAGACCGGAAGGATGGGTGGATTACATAGTAAGTATTACAGTATTTGTGATATCAAACACAAAAATCAGTAGAGTCATTTATCCAACATAAACAGGCTGGCAAAATGTTGGATAAATGAAAATGTTGGATAATAAGGAGGGATTAAGAAATTAAACATCAAATTATGTTATGATTTTACAAAATAACATCAAAACATGATGTTTTACAATAAATCAACAGAAAAAGCAATTTCACACACAGTAATGCTATGTAGTAATTACTGTATTTACAAATTTAAAACCAAAACATTGTAATGTTTTCAAACAGCTGTGGATCCAGATGGAAGGCAGATTATGTTGGATAATACAGAACGTTGAATGAACGGCGGTTGGATAAGTAAGACTCTACTGTACTAAAGAACCAGAGGAGAAGAAACAGGAAATGTGCAGAAAAATGAAATATATGTTTTCTATTATAGTTTTAAGGAAAAATGTGCAGGAGAAATTGTATATTATACTAAGGCAAATGTACAAAGTATGTTAAGAAATAAATAGTGATATGAAATTACACAGTATGTTTCAAAATCCTGGAGAAAGAATGCTTTGAGGGGATGGCAAAGAACAAGGAAAAGAATCAGCTTTTGGTTTTTTTCACAATGTTACAGGTCACTGACCAGTGGACAAAACACACCTAAACTGTGAGGCCACACACAGAGAGAAAGAAACTACTGAAGTAACCAAAATGGTCTAATGCCACAAAATGAATGACATAACAAATGCCTTAGTGCATTAGTTATTTGTTACTAGTCACTTCCAAGCTGTGTACACAATAGGAAAAAAAATTGGGAGAGAGCTGAATTGGATGGTGGGTTAAGGAAAAGTACTTTGTCTGAATCACCATCCTTTCCACAAAGCCTAATTATTATTGAACTTGAAAAAAACTTGCCCTAGATTTTAAAAGGCAGTCCCTTCCTCTCCATCTTCTCAACACTTTCACAGAAACATAACCTAAAGAAATGATGTTTTTAGAGACAGCGTGTGCAGCTTTCTGAAATATTATAATAATAAAATAATAATAAAACTTTATTTATACCTTGCCACCATCTCCCCAAGGGGACTCGGAGCAGCTTACATGAGGCCAAGCCCAACAACACATCAATAAAACAATAAGCAATAAGCAAATAAAACAATACAATTAATATAACTCACAAATAAACGATAACACGCAAGGATTAAAAAAACCAATACTTTGTACAGAGTTCAACTTTGGTTCTGTTCCCTTCACTTCTGAAAGGACCAGAATCAGCTCAAAAGACCCTGATTTGACTCAAGATAAGGCTCCAGGTTCTAAATATACAAAAATGGAAGCAAAATAATGATGTCGTTTAGAGAAATAGGAGTAAGAGAATAGAGGCTCATGCAAAATTGAATGATAAAGACAAATCTCTCCATCCTTTATGATTAGGGCCTGAGCTTCAAAAAGATTATTGGTCCACAGCTGATTTATGACCTCAGTTACACCCAGGGAACATTTGCAAAAATGCCACCATGCTAGAGAGCTTCAAAAGCACAATTTCTCTCACATGATTCCTCATCAGAGTTTCCTCCAGGGCACATTCACAAAAGCTCCTTGCATTAAGATGAGATGTGAACCTTCATTTGAAAGCTTTAACACAAGCATAAAGCCACCCTAAGAAACAAAACTTTAGCAAAGGGGTCAAATTGAAAATAGTGAAAGAGAACTAGTGATTCAACTGTAGGAAGATAATCAGATTCTTAAAGGAACATGGCATGAGAAGAAAAGGCCTATACCAAGAACTGACACATATAGATTACATAATAGGCAGAGATTGCCAATTATCTTCTCTTGCATCTCTATAATTTAGAAAGAAATTGAAACTCAGGGGCATTACCAGTCGAATAGCTAATATGATTATGATATAAACAAGAGTTAAACATAATCACATATTGAGGAATAAAGGAGAAAATTACTCTGATCTATCATAATACGATGCATAATTGTAATGGGGGATAATGCTCATTTCAGAAAGACAGTAATTTTTTAATTCCAACATTTCTGAGAAACAGCTTTTGAAAACAATCATCCATGACAGTAATCATCTATGTTACTTAGTTACCTTTGTTCGAGCAAATAGCAGCATGCCAAACATGGTAAACAGAAACAGGTGAAGCGCTAATAGCAGCATAACACTAGTAGAAGAAAACATAAACATCAACATTAATCCTTTCATCAAAATGCAAGGTGAGTACAAGTGGAAAGATGGCATAATCCAATCACACCAGAATATATATTTAAAAAAAATATTCTTAATTCAAGTAAATACCTGAGCAAAGAACAATGTTTTACTGATGTCAATTCATATCTGAGAGAAGAAGACTGGAAAGTAATATAATATTCCTCTTCCTTGTGTGCCTTCAGATGATTTCTGATTTATTGAGAACTTACATGACCCTATTGAAGGTTTTCTTGGCAACATCTGTTCAAAGGAGGTTTGCCATTGCCTAAGACTAAGAAAGCATCTTACCCAAGGCCACCCACTGGGTTTCAATGACTCCACTGAAGTCATACTCTGGTCCTCTGGAGACCTTGTTCAAAATTCAAACGACTACATCAAGCCAACTCTCCAATGACATCAAACTGACTCTCTGACTTACCTCATTTAAAACAAACCACAGATCCCTCCATCTCACCTCAGCTATTCACAAATCTGCCCTTAGCTTTCAGCTGCTATGATGGAGGGTGAACTCAACTACCCCTTTGAGCTTCTCCACATTTTCAATACCACCCAGTCAAACCATCAAGACCCCTCCTCCCCCATTTCTCCCTTGGAAATAGATAACAATGTTGGGAAGAGCTGCTACATTTTCACAGTATCAATCTCTTTGATAACTACTTGCTGAAGAGTATTGGTAAAATTCACCTTGTAATTTCAGGCAACGTCCTCTTGATGCTTTTCAGGGTCTTTTTCATCATTGAAGAGTTCTGAAGGAGGAAGAAGGGTCGGAGGATTCGTCTTATTCTAAGTTTCTAAGATTTAAGATGAGAAATGGGATTTTGAATCGAGAAAACATGAACAAAAAACCCAGCATCTGAATCAGATGTCTCTTAATGAATGTCCATGCAGACAAGTCCAATTAAACAGTAAAGTTTCATTTCGAAAAGAACAACATGAACATATAAACATAAAACTTCAAGAGAACAATCCAATGGTCAAGGAGTTGAAATGACAGAGCAGTTTATGTACTGCAGTGTGCAACATATTCAAAGCCTTGTTCAGCTCTTTTGTGATAGGCAGGAAAAAACAGTGTGCACATTTAAGAGCGTGTTGCCTTTGCCTAACTCCATGAGGTACTTTTTGTCTTGGTTGGAGATGAGAGATGAGAAGACCTGGAAAAACAGAAAAAAGGGAGGAAACCGGGGAGGGGTGTGTTTTGGTCCTGGTTGTTAAAAATCCAAGCAATGACAGAGTTTTAATTTAGGCCACTCCAAGTTAGAGTGAAACTGTGTCCCACATTGAGAACATGGTGGGAGGCTGAAAGAACTAGAGATGGCAAGCCCCACCTCTAATCCACTTCTATATCACCCTGGAATTCTGGATCAAAATGTTGGTCTCATCAAGGAAAGAGCCACAGAAAGATCCTGGAGAATTCCCTGGAATTCTGGTTCAAAATGTTGGTCTTGTCAAGAAAAAGCTACAGAAAGCTCCACAGTGGCCGGGAAGATCCTGGAGGATTCTCTAGGTCCTCCAGTGCAATTCTAGGATCAGCTTGAGATTTGTGTAATACCAATAGACAAGAAACACAATAAAAATATCCATTTTATTCACTGCTTTTTACTTTCATGGGGTGCTGTACCCCTAACCCCAGCAAATGAGGACAAATAACCATACAATCTATTTTTGCCTAAAATGCCCTCTAGAAGGTTTAGGGGAACCTTTGCCATATATGCTGGGGCCCTTGGGCCATTTTGGCTCCCCTGGGGCAAAAGACTCTTTTTAGCAATGGAAAGTGGCAAAGTCATTTCCATTAACATCATGTTGTAGAAAATCTTAGAGAGCACTTGGGACATTTTTCTCCCAAAGCAAATTAACCTAGGAGGTGTTGTGAATCACAAAAGTTTCCAGGGGACAAATATATGTTGCATAATTTTCACCTCAGCCTACAACTTGGGTAGGGGGGTTACTCCTCAGTCCTACCACTTCAGGGACCACAGGATTGTCCTCTAAGTCAAGAGAAGAGGGAACCATCGTTTAATGAGGAAGTTGTTAATAGACTGAACATGCAGGAGGTTAGCAAAGCAAGGAAGGTTTTTCTCCCCAAAATTGATTTCCCATATGACATAAAAGACAATAATTATATATCAATACCTAAAGAAAATAAATTGAACAAATGAATAGAAAGGGCTATTTTAACAACTATCATCACAAGTGCATGCTCCTGCTCAGGAAACCCTGAACCACAAAACGGGCTTATTACAATTGGGAAGAGGCTTCTGCAGGAGTAATTTTCACCTGCCATTCTCCCATGATAAAATTTCGTTGTAAACGGAAGGACTTCAGCATGGCCTGAAAAAACAATCACAATATAAACTTCCTTCACATTATGGCTTTCTGTCTCTATAAAAAGTGACCACAACACATGGGAAGAGAAGAACCTGTTACCATGTGCTGACTTCTAAGTAACTTTAGTTTTCTGCGGAATAACAAAGGCTACCCAACAAAGGAATGAGTTTTCACATTATCATTTCACATGTACACACACAGAGATACTCTTGAATGAGACTAGTTTATGCAGACCCATTTCAACAGTGGTAAGAAAAGAGAGATCTGAGCGAAGATCATGTGGGTTAGGTGATACCTAACACAAATGATGTGAGAAAGGAGAAAGTGAGAAAAATGTACCCATCGGAGGGAAAATTCACTCCTGAAAGAGGAGTGTTTCTACTGAAGATTTCTCACTAATCCTTGTTTCCATAACATGTAGAATTTTTCAAAATCCAATAATCAAATGGACAGAAAGTGAAGTGAAATCTTCTGAAGGGGGCAAAGACAGTAAAACAAACACTACAGAGGTGTTAACCCATCCCTATGCTATCCAAGAGGTGCTAACCCTTCCCTATGCAGATAGATAGATAGATAGGTAGGTAGGTAGGTAGGTAGATGGAGTTACACTTTAAAAATGTATCTATTCCGATTTACAAACAAATTCAACTTAAGAGCAAAGTTACAGAACTTATCTTGTTCGTAACTTGGGGATTGCCTGTATTGCCAAGAGTTTTACTGCTGGATTGCTGTGAGCTTTCCGGGTTGTATGGCCATGTTCCAGAAGCATTATCTCTTGATGTTTCGCCCACATCTATGGCAGGCATTCTCAGAGGTTGTGAGATCTGTTGGAAACTAGGCAAGTGGGGTTTATATATCTGTGGAATGTCCGGGGTGGGAGAAAGATCTCTTGTCTCCTTGAGGCAAGTGTGAATGTTACAATTGGCCACCTTGATTAGCACTGAATAGCCTTGCAGCTTCAAAGTCCGATATATGTAATTATTTTGATGCTTATTTATATTTATGTGACTTGTGTTTTATGCAATGTGTGGATTTATTGTTTATATGTTGGGTGGGTGGGTAGATAGTTTTGTTTAATATGTAGTTGTCTTTTTCTATTTTTTTGTACACTGCTTTGAGTCCCATCCATGGAGAAAAAGTGGGATAAAAGTAAATTAATAATAACCTGCCAATCTACTACTGAACACAATTCAAACTGCTGGCTTTACCCTATAAAGCCCTAAATGGTTCTGGCCCAGCTTACCTGTCTGAATGTATCTCCCCCTATGAACCATCTCATCTAGAAAGGCCCTGCTCTATAAAGATTGAGATCATCTAGAAAGGCCCTTTACAGGCATGGTTGGTAGAGACGAGAGACAGAGCCTTTTCAGTGGTGGCTCCTCAGCTATGGAACTCCCTCCCCAGTGATATTAGATCAGCCCCTTCCCTCCTGACTTTCAGAAAAAAGGTGAAAACATGGCTTTGTGACCAAGCCTTTGGCAACTAATAAATTGCAATAGATGATTCAGATTTATGTTTTAATTGCTTTTAATCTCGTTTAGATTTTTAACTAAATGTTATTTAATTATTGAGAATGACGGGTTATAAATATAGTATGTAAATAAATAATAATTCTGGCAATGAAAGCCTTCAGCAACAGTTTTACTGCTTACTGTTTTAATGTATGGTGTCAGCTGCTTTGAGTTCCTTATGGGAGAAAAATAGGAAATTTAACAAATTTGTTTCCTGAACGCTTTTCAATCCATTAAACTTCATTCAGCCTCTGATTCAATTGCTCTGTCTCTCATTCTCTGAGCCTTATTCAATCTCGTTTTCACAAACAGACAAATACACACACACTTTACCTCATCACAGGAAGAGCTCAGGGAGACAGTCCAGTCTGCAAGGGAGACCACTAGCACTAGGATATATGCCATCAGCCACTTGGTTTTCCGAAATCCTTCCCAGCCTATGAGGTAACTCTGATGAAACAATACAAGTTTGAACAACAGTGAGGCCACTGCAACATAAACAAAAAAAAATGGGGAAATGTCTCTATGACTCATTGCCATATGCCTTTTCTGAAAACAGACAGCCAATGTAACATTTGAAGAATCACTCAAGTGATAAATTTTCAGGGAAACCATTTTATCCATTCAGGTGCCCTATGTTGGAATTGTATCAAAATTCATCTGTTACTCAAATATGGACAGGCCTTGGGCACATTCCATTTCAGGATCACCTACTTGCATAATCCCACAACCAAGATGACTATTGGCTTGACAATCCAACAGACAACATATTTTCCGTGCTCTGGGTACTGGGAAGGGATATCTCATGTGATTAGTCACAAAGACCAAACTGTATAGATCTGGTTAACAGTTCATAGAGTCATTACAGAGAATATTATTAGATGTTCCCAGTACTTTACTAGCACCCATCTTTAATTTCACAATAAATATCAGAGAAGAGAAAATTACTATAGTTTGTCTTTAAATGCATTAGTATAGGGCTGGGATTCATATTGGCCTGCATTTCCCAACAGCTCTAGCCAGCTTATTCAATGATAAGGAATGCTTGGAGATTTGTGTGTGTGTGTCAGGAGCAACTTGAGAAACTGCAAGTTGCTTCTGGTGTGAGATAATTGGCCATCTGCAAGGACATTGCCCAGGAGATGCCAGGATGTTTTGATGTTTTTGCCATCCTTGTGGAAGGCTTCTCTCATGTCCCTGCATGGGGAGCTGGAGCTGACAGAGGGAGCTGATCCACTGGATTTGAACCTGTGACCTGTCAGTCTTCAGTCCTGCCTTGCACAAGGGTTTAACCCACTGCACCACCGGGGGCTCTGCTTGGAAATGAAGTTCAACAATATCTGGAAGGCCACATTATTCCCACCCCTGATCAGGGAAACAACAGAATAGGGGTGAAAAGAACATTCAAAAATATTTCAAAATGTGTTTGTCAAATGAAAGAATACTCTGGTGAAAATTGTGGGCTAATGAATGAGTATCTTTGTAGTTCAGGATTTATTCTGCACAAAATTCACAGAGGCTGTGCTTCTGTGTGTTTGAGAAATTTCTTCAAAATCACTGTAGTAGAGTGACCTTACAGGAATGTGTGGCTGGAAAGAAAACAGGAGGTACAATTCCATTCAATGGCTCTGCTAGAGGTATGGTCTCATGCCAAAACAGACTGCAGTGTAATCCTTGCATACTGGTGTATGTCACATTTGGTAGTAGTGACAGCTAACAATATAGCAGTATCAAGTCATGCTACTGAACCAGCCAAACAGTTCATGGGAAACCATTAATTGTAATTGTGCAGTTAACAATCAATCAGTCATTTAATGATACCATGTGATGTAGTGATTACAATACTGGACTGGAATGCAAGTCCACACTGAACTTTCAAACTCACTGGGTGATTTGGGCCCTGCAACTTTCTCCCAATTTAAACTATCTTGAAGAATTGTTGTGAGAATAAGATATAAAGTAGGAGAGCTCTGTGTATTAACATTCTCACTGGAGGAAAGGAGGAAAAAATAGGTACTTGTTAACTATACACACAGGAGGCCCTCCACTTTCATTGGTTCAGGGGCACAGGACTCCACAAAAGTGGGAAAACTACAAAAATACCCTTTTTTACCTGAGAAAACATTTCAAAGTCTTCTTGGAGGACTTTGAGATTCCTGGAGAGAACATATCAATCAATTTGAAGGGCTAAAACAAACAAACATGAAGGCTGACTATATGTGTAAATGACTTTAAATATATACTTTAGGGCTCACTAACCTTCACGGAAACATCCACTATAAAGACAAGGAAGCAAAGCAGTTCAATGCTCTCAGTGAGGCCACAAGGAGGCTCCCAGGCTTCCGAGCGATATCGCACATCTGATGTGACAGTTAGTGAAGAAGGCTTTTCGATGAAAGCAAGGATCAAGATTAGGGTAATGGTAGCAATCAAAATCCTTTGGAGGAAAGAGAACACAAATATGTGAATTAAACAAGAAGGAAACTGAAAAGGTTTGCCAAAAGAACTGCGCATTCACATTATCCATTGCTTTACTAGCAGAAGCAGTCAAAACTGAGCCATTAAAAAAGAACAGCTATGAGCCAAAACTCAATGCTTCTTTTTGTCATTACAAAGCAGTGGATGATAGCCTTATAGATCCTAGGATATTTAGCAAAACAAAGCAATCAAGGATTTTATTCCAACCACTTTGCTGATAGTAGCTAGATAAAGCAGAAACCAGACAAGAGGTGGAATCCTACCTGTACAAGCCTGAAATCTTTTTGCCTTCCTCCTACAGCCTTATTACAGTCTGCCCTTCTGTCCTGCAGCCCTTCACGACAAGCTAGACTGTACTGAGATGCAGAGGGAAAGATGAACAAGTTAAACTCACCTCCCTTTCTTCTGCTGGTTGGAACATCCCTTGAATGGAACACTACTAGGTAAATACTGTCGCTGAAATATTAGTTAGGTTACAGGGTTTTTTTATAATCATGTCAGTAGCAACTTGAGATAATTGCAAGTTGCTTCTGGTGTGAGAGAATTGGCCGGCTGCAGAGACATTGCCCAGGGGATGCCCAGATGTATTACCATCCTGTTGAAGGCTTCTCTCATGTCCTCGCATGGGAAGCTGGGGCTGACAGACAGGAGCTCACCCCATCTAACAGATTCGAACCACCAAACTTTAGGTCAGCAGTTCAGCTGGCACAAGGGTTTAACCCACTGCGCCACCACAGCCTCCAATGAATATCTCAGGACATTAAAGATGACATTAATAATGCATATCTCAGGACATTAAATATGGCATGTCAATAGGAGAGAGTGTCTTTCATGAACAGAAGCAAGGAGAAATGAGGGTGCCTAAAACAAAATGGCTTTCCATCACAGTATTGTCACAATATTTTCCCCACAGTAGAGAAAATGTTGCACTGCTCAATGATACATCTGTTTTTATTTTTTAAATGTGAGGAATTAGATTATCCCTCATACATTACTGTGATTTAACAGGTCTGTGGCTTAATCTAGAAGGGCTCTTCTAATGTTGTTGCACCTGAGGGCACCAATGATGTTTGTGGTCACAACATATACTTTTAACATGAATCTTCTTTCTCGGTTGGTGTTTCACCTGTGCCATTGTCTGTTGGTGCAACGGCACAGGTGCCCATGAACCTTACTGTATCACCTACGGATCCCCAATGGCTCTGGAAGCTTGGGGTGCCCTCTGTAGCAGAATTTATATGCAAGTGTATCAGTTGCAAAGGATAACAGAGGAAAAAATAGAAGCTGTGTTACAGGGAATTCTCAAATGTGTAGAGAAATGCAAAAAGGAAAAAGCAATAAAAAAAGAAAAAGAAAAGATTTACAGAAATACAAGAGGGAAATGGCTGTGATCATCAGAGATAGTAATGGTTTACAGCACGCACACAAGACATTTCTTACCTTTGGCAAACTTCTGAATAATACCATCGATAAAGCCACAGGGAGTTAGAGTCCACCCGGTGATTTATGGAACGATACTAGAGAGGTGAAAATCAGAGAAGTAAATTCAAGCATTACATTTTATTGTTTCTCAAATGTGGAAGCCAAGGTATTTAAAGTTAAATAGGCCACTTCTGACTCATTGAAAGCAATGCCTGCTAATGATTAGGAAAGCCAGAGCCAAAGCACATATTCAGTACATACAAGTATATAGGTAGTATATATTCAGTACATACAAGTATATAGGTAGTCAGCTTTACTACAGCTAATTGCAAAAACACAAGACTAGTAATATTTATTTGAAATGCTGTATGTTGACAGCTAAGACCTGTACAGTTCATCTGAAAAGTGTCTACCCCATGTACATAGAGCTAGATAGAGGGGTAAGAATTCCATTGCTATCAATCGGACTTTTTTTATTGCATTATGCTGTCCAAAAAGAGTTCCTAAAACAAAGCAAGCCAAAGTATCTGCTTTAGGTCTACTTTTTTGTGTGTCAGGAGCAACTTGAGAAACTGCAAGTCTTTTCTGGTGTGAGAGAATTGGCCATATGCAAGGATATTGCCCAGGGGACACCCAGATGTTTTACCATCCTGTGGGAGGCTTCTCTCATGTCCCCACATGGGAAACTGGAGCTGACAGACAGGAGCTCACCCCACTCCCCGGATTTGAACCACTGACCTTTCAGTCAGCAGTCCTGCTGGCACAAGGGTTTAACCCATTGAGCCACTGGGGGCTTCTTTGTCCTCAATGTCCTGATACTAAAAATATTTAGAATTAACATGACTAAAATTTGAGTGTATATGAATTCAGATTCCCTACAAACATTGAAGGCATTCTGCTATGACAAGGTGATAAGACTAAGCTGCGAAATCTATAAATAAACAATTCAGAAGTAGTGATGTTATAATTAATGACATTGCCTGCAACGTACTACTTTATATTTGCTAACAAGGGGGAAACATCATTTTTCTTTTGTAGCATAATGACAAGTAACACAGTTGCTCACTCAGTACAACAAATAATATTTAGTTGTCATTTTTGTGTTACTTTGGGAGGCATTTTGAGTTGTTGTTTTTTACCCAAAAATCCCTTTTCCCCCAGAAGAGAAGGAACAGAAAGTAACAAAACAATACAACAAATACCCTAATGAGATACTTTTAAAAGATGAATTCCATATGTAGAAACTGTAACAAATAAAAGTAACAATTCTGTACATAAAATAACTTCCTAAGCTCTCCAGAAAAGAATTCTGTGTCATGTTTACAATCCCGTAGAGAAAACACATGCCAAAATTACCTGAATTGCATCTTCAATGAATACTACAGCTTGGTTGAAGTAGAGCTCGTGGCCATCTTTAACTGAAAGATTCAAAGTAATACAGTCGTTTGTGTGTTCTCATCAATACTGTTACCGTGTTTTTAGAAATCATTTTTAAAACTCTGATGTCTTAAAGCAGTGGTTCTCAACCTGTGAGTCCCCAGGTATTTTGGCCTACAAGTCCTAGAAATCCTAGCCAGTTTGCCAGCTGTTAGGATTTCTGGGAGTTGAAGGCCAAAACATCTGGAGACCCACAGGTTGAGAACCACTGTCTTAAAGCATCCAAAAGTATGTTTTGCTGAAGAGCTCAAGGCAAGAAGAAAAGCACTTGGAATAAACAAACTAACAAAGAGTAAAAACACAACACATCAGTTGTTGTTGTTCATTCGTTCAGTCGTCTCCGACTCTTCGTGACCTCATGGACCAGCCTACGCCAGAGCCCCCTGTCGGCCGTTACCACCCCCAGCTCCCTCAAGGTCAGTCCAGTCACTTCAAGGATGCCATCCATCCATCTTGCCCTTGGTCGGCCCCTCTTCCTTTTGCCTTCCACTTTCGCCAGCATAATTGTCTTCTCTAGGCTTTCCTGTCTCCTCATGATGTGGCCAAAGTACTTCAACTTTGTCTCTAGTATCTTTCCCTCCAGTGAGCAGTCGGGCTTTATTTCCTGGAGGATGGACTGGTTGGATCTTCTTGCAGTCCAAGGCACTCTCAGCACTTTCCTCCAACACCACAGCTCAAAAGCATCGATCTTCCTTCGCTCAGCCTTCCCTAAGGTCCAACTCTCACATCCGTAGGTTACTACAGGGAATACCATGGCTTTGACTAGGCGGATCTTTGTTGCCAGTGTGATTTCTATACACTTCACTATTTTATCGAGATTGGACATTGCTCTCCTCCCAAGAAGTAAGCGTCTTCTGATTTCCTGGCTACAGTCTGCATCTGCAGTAATCTTTGCACCTAGAAATACAAAGTCTGTCACGGCCTCCACGTTTTCTCCCTCTATTTGCCAGTTATCAATCATTCTTGTTGCCATAATCTTGGTTTTTTTGATGTTTAGCTGCAACCCAGCTTTTGCGCTTTCTTCTTTCACCTTGATTAGAAGGCTCCTCAGCTCCTCCTCGCTTTCTGCCATCAGAGTGGTGTCATCTGCATATCTGAGGTTGTTAATGTTTCTTCCAGCAATTTTCACCCCAGCTTTGCATTCCTCAAGCCCCGCACATCGCATGATGTGTTCTGCATACAAGTTAAAAAGGTTGGGTGAGAGTATGCAGCCTTGCCGTACGCCTTTCCCAATCTTGAACCAGTCTGTTGTTCCATGGTCAGTTCTTACTGTTGCTACTTGGTCCTTGTACAGATTCCTCAGGAGAGAGACAAGGTGATTTGGTATGCCCATACCACCAAGAACTTGCCACAATTTATTATGATCCACACAGTCAAAGGCTTTAGAATAGTCAATGAAGCAGAAGTAGATGTTTTTCTGAAACTCCCTGCCTTTCTCCATTATCCAGCGGATATTGGCAATTTGGTCTCTCATTCCTCTGCCTTTTCTAAACCCAGCTTGAACATCTGGCAACTCTCTCTCCATGTATTGCTGGAGTCTTCCTTGCAGGATCTTGAGCATTACCTTACTGGCATGAGAAATAAGGGCCACTGTACGGAAGTTTGAGCAGTCTTTCGCATTTCCCTTTTTTGGTATGGGGATATAAGTTGATTTTTTCCAGTCTGATGGCCATTCTTGTGTTTTTCATATTTGCTGGCATATGGCATGCATCACCTTGACAGCATCATCTTTTAAGATTTTAAACAGTTCAGCTGGGATCCCGTCATCTCCTGCTGCCTTGTTGTTAGCAATGCTTCTTAAGGCCCATTCAACTTCACTCCTCAGGATGTCTGGTTCTAATTCACTCACCACACCGTCAAAACTATCCTCGATATTATTATCCTTCCTATACAGATCTTCTGTATAGTCTCGCCACCTTCTCTTGATCTCTTCAGCTTCTGTTAGGTCCCTGCCATCTTTGTTTCTTATCATACCAATTTTTTGCCTGAAATTTACCTCCAATGTTTCTAATTTTCTGGAAGAGGTCTCTTGTCCTTCCTATTCTGTTGTCTTCCTCCACTTCCATGCATTGCTTATTTAAAAATAGTTCCTTATCTCTTCTGGCTAACCTCTGGAATTGCGCATTTAACTGGGCATATCTCCCCTTTTCACTGTTTCCTTTTGCTTTCCTCCTTTCTTGGGCTACTTCCAGTGTCTCAGCAGACAACCATTTTGCCTTCTTGGTTTTCTTTTTCTTTTGAACGTACTTTGTTGCCGCCTCCTGAACAATGTCTCGGACTTCTGTCCATAGTTCTTCTGGGACTCTGTTTACTAAATCTAGTCTTTCAAATCTGTTCTTCACTTCCACTGTATATTCGCTAGGAATGTTAGTGAGATCATATCTAACTGGTCTGTGTATTTTCCCTGATCTCTTTAGTTTTATTCTAAATTGGGCAATAAGAAGTTCGTGATCTGAGCTACAGTCAGCCCCAGGTCTTGTTTTCACCGACTGGATGGATGTCCGCCACCTTTGGCTGCAAAGGATGTAGTCAATCTGCAAAGGATGTAGTCTGCAAAGGATGTAGGCTGCAAAGGATGTAGTCAACACATCAGTTAAGAGGAGAAAATATATCAGTGAAACCTAATCCCTTACAACCCTAGTCAATAACTAACAAAAACTTAAGACTACTTACTACTGTTTGCTTATATATTTATTTATTTTATATCCTGCTCTTAAAGCATGATTCAGTTAAAAACCAACTATGTGAAAAACAGTTTTGAACCAATTAAATGAGCTAACAGAAAACATGGAAGATATAATGCCCTCATTAAAATAGCCCCCTCACAGTAGTCAGCTGATGGCCAAATCTTCCAGCAAAGGAACAAGAATGGACAGCATAGCCTTTCATTGAAAGGAAATAGGTGCACATTACAAAAAAAATAGGATTTGCTGTTGAATGTAATGCAAGGTGGTGGTAGCCACCAAAAGGTTGGTGGGAAGCTAGCAATGGCTGCAAAAAGGCTGTTGGAAAACTGGCAGTAGCTGTGAAAAAGCTGGTGGGAAGCCATGCCCCTCCGTCAGCCAGCCTCATGCAGTTCCCAACTGGCCCAATTCATGAGACATTCAAAACCTCCCCCTCGATTTTGAAAGCCTCATGAATAAGGTCAGTTGGGAACTGTGCAAAGCTGGCTTTCTACCAGTCCTTTCATGGCCACTACAAGCTGTCCCTCCTCCATCCCCGACCAGCATCTCCTGCCCCACAGCCACTTCATGATGTCTGTGGCAAAGCTTTCTAGACTGCCCAGCATAGGAGATAAGACCACTCATCCTTGGGCTTTGCTTTCCAAAGCACCTGCCACCAAGATGCCTGGAGGTGGACTGTTCCTCAGCCTCGACTTCTGCCTGAGAGTTATTCCTTCACTAGTCTTCACCAGACAGAGGGGTGTAGCTTCCTAATTGGTCTCATTCACAAAACCTTCAAAACATCTCTGTGTTCTGCTACTTTCTTCCTTGATGACAGGCCCAATGGTGCAGACAGGCTTATGTGCTCGATTTTAATGCACCATCGAATCTAATTTTGGTGGTGTAATTTAGCTAAAAAAGCTGTGCATTAGCCTTGAGTAAATCCAGTACTTCCCTTAAGGTCTCAAAAATCAAGCAGATCTCAAAAATCAAGCAGGCTCACTGGAAAAGTATTGTTAGTTAAGCAGTCTGCACCCAAGTCTTACAGAGCTTTATAGATCACAAACAGCACTCTGAAAGGGAGTTCCAAAATTGGGGGGGGGGGGGACCAAACATGTGGCAGGGAAGGCCTGCTACTCACAAAGTGTGGTCTATTTATTTATTTATTTATTTATTTACAGTATTTATATACCACCTTTCTCACCCCTGGGGGGACTCAAAGTGGTCTACTGCGCTACCACGTCCCCGGAAGTGGCTCTGGAGGTGTTTATTGGGTGGACTCGCAACAGAAGCAGGTAAGGAAGCACGAGGGATAGACTGCACATGGACGCTTCTTATATATGCCCAATGGAAGTGGAGCACTTTCTAAAAGTTGCTGCTCAACTAAAGTGACTGAAAGGTTTTGTAAAGGAAAAGGCTTTCCCCTGAATACTAAATATATATATAAATATTAAAATAAATATAGTGTCCCTACTTCACGGATTTTCACTTATCGTGGGTGGTCCTGGAATGGAACACCCGCAATAAGTGAGGGGACACTGTAGTGGTTTAAATGTTGGACTAGGACTTTGGAAGGCTTGGATTCAAATTTCTACTCAGTCATGAAAAACGGAGTGGTCAATTCTCTCAAGCTTAGAGGAATTTTCCCCTGAATAAGGTTTTTTCCAAGGAAACCCTAGGATAGGGTTATCGTAAATCTGAGTCAACTTGATTTATTGATGTTATGTGCAAACTTTGATCACACTCCTCCCAATATTTACACTGAAAATCCAGATCAGTGTAACATTTACAAATATGCTAGACAAAGTCATTGCTAGCAGGAAGTCTGCAGCAACAGTCTTTGTCTGTGTTGTATAGCACAGAAAAAGACAATGACATAAACCATACAGTCCACCAGCACAGAGATAGCTTTATTACTTGACACATCTAATATGCCTCTTGCACAGAAATTGGCCCATTGTGCATCCCACAAGAGGGCTGGGATATATCCAGTATCCTTTTGAACTGGTTTGTTTATTAAAGATGAGATTACTAAATATCATGACAATATCATCCTCAACAGAGGTTTCCATACACTTCCACATCTTCCAATGTGACAAACACACACACACTGCCCTCACCCCCCTTTCAGGTAAAACTTCACTCTCAGCCAATGTTCCCCAGTGCAACTTAATTCAGCTCCCATTTCAGTGTTTGAAGTGACAGGTGTGCAGACCCGCAAAGCAAATGCTGACTCAGTCATCCATCTGCCACTTTGCTGTTTGTAAGTGGTCTGGCTTTTTAAAACATCATATCTCATGGGCCTAGTTAATATTTTA